ACCTAAAGTTCAAGTCTGTTACCCAGCGTGAGTTGATTTTTGTGAGAGGTGAAAGGTGTGGGTCCTGTTTCAGTCTTCTGCATGTGGCTATCCAGTTTTCCCAGCACGATTTATTGAATAAGGATTCTTTTCCCCAGTGTATGTTTTTGTCTGCTTTGTCGAAGATTAGTTGGCTATATGAGGATGGTTTTATATCTGGGTTATCTGTTCTGTTCCACTGGTCAATGTCCCTGTTCTTGTGCCAGTTTAATGCTGTTTTAATTATTATTGCCTTGTAATATAGTTTGAAATCTGGTAAATTTGATATCTCCTATTTTGTTTTTATTGCCTAGGATTGATTTTGCTATACGGAGTCTTCTCTGGTTCCATATGAAGCATAAAATTATTTTTTCTGTATCTGTGAAAAATGATGATGGTATTTTAATAGGGATTGCATTGACTCTGTAGGTCGCTTTGGGTAGTATAGACATTTTAACAACATTGATTCTGCTGACCCGTGAGCATGGTATATTCTTCCACCTGTTTACATCCTCTGCCATTTCTTTCATCAGTGTTTCATAGTTCTCCCTGTAGAAGTCTTTTACCTCCTTAGTTAAATATATTCCTAGGTACTTTATTTTCTTTGTTGCTATTTTGAAGGGAATTGAGTCTTTGATTTGGTTCTCACTTGGACTGTTGTTGGCGTATATGAATGCCTCTGATTTCTGTGTATTGATTTTGTATCCTGAGACTTTACCAAATTCACTTATCAGATCAAGGAGTCTCTTGGTTGAATCCTTGGGGTTTTCTAGGTATAATATCATGTCATCAGCAAAGAGTGAGAGTTTGATCTCTTCTGCTCCCATTTGGACACCCTTAATTCCACTCTCTTGTCTGATTGCTGTAGCAAGGACTTCCAGCACTATGTTGAACAGAAGTGGAGAGAGTGGGCAACGTTCCAGTTCTAAGTGGGAATGCTTTTAATTTTTCCCCATTCAGTATGATATTGGCTGTGGATTTGTCATATATGGCTTGTATCATTTTTAGGTAAGCCCCATCTATGCCTATTTTGTTGAACGTTCTTATCATAAAAGGGTGCCGAATTTTGTCAAATGCTTTTTCTGCGTCTATTGAGAGGATCATATGGTCTTTATTTTTGCTTCTGTTTATATGGTGAATTACATTTATAGATTTGCATATGTTGAACCATCCCTGCATCCCTGGGATGAAGCCCACTTGGTTGTGATTAGACTAAAGATAAAGGGGTGGAGAACAATATTTAAAGCAAACGGAAGCCAAAAGAAAGCTGGCGTGGCGGTGCTGATTACAGATAACTTAGCTTTTAAATCAACAAAAGTAATAAAAGACAAAGAAGATCACTATATAATGGTTAAGGGTACAGTTCACCAAGAAGACATAACAATTCTAAATATATATGCACCCAATCTTGGTGCACCCAGATTTATACAGCAAACTCTACTTGATCTAAACAAATGGATAAATGACAACACCATAATAGTTGGAGACTTTAACACCCCACTGACAGCAAAGGACAGATCCTCCAAACAGAAAATCAACAAAGAAATAATGGACTTAAACAGAACTCTAGAACAAATGGGCCTGACTGACATTTACAGGACATTCTACCTCAAAACCACTGAATATACGTTCTTCTCATCAGCTCATGGATCATTCTCTAAGATTGACCATATCCTGGGACACAAAGCATGTCTCAAACAATTTTAAAAAATAGAAATTATACCATGTATCTTTTAAGACCACAATGGATTAAATGTAGAAATCAATCCTAACAGGAGTTCTCATTTCTACACAAAGTCATGGAAACTAAACAACCTTCTGTTGAATGATCACTTCATGAACGAGGAAATAAAGATGGAAATCAAAAGATTCTTTGAACTAAATGACAAAGGTGACACAAGTTACCAAAACCAGTAGGACACAGCTAAAGTAGTCCTGAGAGGAAAGTTTATTTCCATAAATGCCTATATCCAAAAGTTGAAAAGATCACAAATAGACAACCTAATGAATCGTCTCAAAGAGCTGGAAAAAGAAGAACAGACCAACCCCAAACCCAGCAGAAAAAGTGAAATCATTAAGATCAAAGCAGAACTAAATGAAATTGACAACAAGGAAACTATACAGAAGATTAATAAAACAAAAAGTTGGCTCTTTGAAAAAATAAACAAAATTGACATGCCATTGGCTAGACTAAAAAAAGCAGAAAAGAAAAATCTCTAATAAGCTCCATCAGGAACCATAAAGGAGAAATTACAACTGATGCCACGGAGACACAAGATATAATTTATGAATACTACAAAAACCTCTATGCACACAAACTGGAAAATGTGTAGGAAATGGACAATTTCTTAGAAACACACAGCCTCCCTAGGCTCAACCAGAAAGAAATAGAATTCCTGAACAGACCAATATCAAGTACTGAAATTAAAACAGCAATAAAAAACCTTCCTAAAAAGAAAAGTCCAGGACCACATGGTTTCACACCCGAATTTTGCCACACCTACAAAGAAGAATTGGTGCCTATCCTGCAAAAATTATTCCACAACATCAAGAAGGATACAAGCCTCCGCAACACATTTTATGAAGCAAACATAACCCTGATACCAAAACTGGGAAAGGATGCAAAAAAAAAAAAAAGAAACAAACAAAACTACAGACCAATATCCCTTATGAATATAGATGCAAAAATTCTCAACAAAATCTTAGCCAATCGAATCCAGGTGCTTGTCAAGAAAATAATCCATTACAATTAATATTTTAAAAGTGAGATTATGTTTCAATGAAAATAACTCAAATAGCAAAGTACACACATACCAATGTGAACAGTGATCTTTGATCAGAGGAGCAAATCATGACCCTGAAGGAATAAATAATCAGGTTGATAGCTGAAGTCAACATATATCTTTAATGAAACACACCAGAAGGGAATGGGATCCCATCTTCAATTAACTTAAATAGAACAACCGCAAGCCTTGAATGTTGTAACGTGCAAAACAAAGTTTCACAACTGATGGAGAAATTAAGTGTTTTCCAGACAAGCAAACACTGAGGGAATTTGCCATGTCCAGACTTGCCCTGCACAAAATACTCAGGACAACACTGTAAAAAATTAGCACAACAGATACACACCAGTGTAATCACGTTAAAAAAAATACCTCACGACTCTTAAAAAACAATACAACAAAAAGGTAAAACCAAACAACAAGGGACTATCCAACAGACCAACACCCCACATGTCAATGATATGTAGGGAGGGTACACCTTTATATTTCAAATCAATGAAGTATTCATTGAAAATAAAAACAAAGTTCAAGAAATACGCTATATAATTTTACTTTCTAATATTACTTTTCAAAGGTATATTATGGTAATGTCGTAAAGATATTTAGGAAACAGCTATTTTATATACAAAAATAGTTTTCTGGAAAAAAAGCAATGCTTCCATATTCAAATTAATCACATTTGATTAATATCACATCTCGCTTGATTTACTAATATACATCTTGATGCCTAACAGGTACAGACAGGAGAAATGAATGACGGTGGTTTACCCCAATTCCACCACTCCTCTCCTTCCAGTAATCTCTGGGGCAGCAATAACCTAATCTGACGTGTGAGTGCAAATTTCCAGCATCCATCTGAAGTGAGTTCTCTCAAGTGTCCTCATCATCAACTGCAAAATTGCCTAGCTAACTGCTTTCTTTCCTCCCTCTGGACCCACTCACAATCCCTTTTCCTTTACAAAAGCAATCTCCAAATCAGAGGTCTCCATTCTTTTCACACATCATTTCCACCACTTCTTTTCTCTCTGTTTAGCAGCAATATTTTATGTCTGCAATTGTGATGTTTTCATTTGTTTGTTCTTTCCCCTATGGCTACAAACATGCTCAAAAATAAGAGCAAAATAAGGCTCTCCCTTGATTCTGCTATGGTGGAACGGTTCAGCAATGGCTCTTCTACCAGATTTCTCTACAGGGCAGTCTATACCCTTGCTACTCAGCGTGGTCCAAAGACAACCATCATCAGCATCACCTGAAGATGTATTACAAAAGCAGAATCCCAGACCTACTGAATCATACAAGGTGCGTTTTTAACAAGGTGCCCAGCTGATTTCTTAAAGTTTGAGGCGCTCTGGTCTGTACTGAGTGTGCCTCCACATTCCCTTACCTGAACTTACCCCTTCAGAATCCAGCATCAAGTTGCTTCCTATCACATCTCTCCAAACTGAAATGGCAGTACAAATCAGAAAGTTTCTAATGGCCTTTTTAAGAGGCTATATAGCCTCCCCGATCTCTCCATAACTAACCCTACTCTCTTCCTTCCAATTCCCTAATTTTGAACTATATGACTGTAGGATATGAAGAAACATCGTTTTATATGACATTAAATTACATACACCTATGGCTGACCACATATGCTTCGATGCCTCTATGGTAGATGGAACATAGCTCTGCCTGATCAGGGGCCTCAATCCTTAACGCCTTCCCAACAGTGAGGAACACAGGAAGAGCGGGGAAATTTTGCACTGCTTCTCTGGCCCATGTCGGTGCTGGGAGCTCACATGATTTTCTTCCCACCATTCTAATGCCTGGCTCTACCTTTTATTAAGGAAGAATTATTTTATTTCAGCACCCTGCATTATATACACCTGTTCCCTTTCCCTTCAAGGACTCCCTCCTGTACTCTCTGCCTTGCCCATTCTTCATTCCCTCTTTTTCTCCTTTCCCCTTCCTGACTTTCAGCCTTTCCTCCTGTGTTAGACTATCTTGAAATGGAACTAAGAATTCACTTCCTCTGTGGCACTCTCACATCCCTCTGTTGCGGACACCTGATAAGACATACAACCATTTCACTTCTCTTTTCTTGTTGTTGTGACTACGCATTTAACAGGTGATTTTCCTAGTCTAGTAGATTATGTCAGTGCTCATGTGTTTCAATAACCTTTCTCACAAATGACTTTTTCAGTGAAATACGCTTCTTACCTTCTGCTTCCTCAGTTACTGTCTTTTTTTCTCTTGCATTGGCAGCCCCAGAAGAATCACCAAGATCCTTCTGCTTAAGATTCTCTGAGAAACTCTGTTAAAATTAATAATGATATTCAGTTTCAATTAAATTATAAGAAGAAGTTCCATCAGGATTCCCTAATCACTTTCTTGAAAAATATCTCAATTTTCTACTGTAAAATCAATTATACTCATAAATAAGGGAAACGGGTATTGAAAACCAAAACATTCCAATAGAAGACTTCAACAATGCTCTCTACATGAAGCTTACCTTTCATTAGCACATCACTATTGATTCTGGAAACCGAGCATGGATGGGCAAAGGAAACATAGTCACAGAAAAATATTAATTTGTGCCCATATTTAAAAAATGAAATTGCTTCAAAATACATAACTCTACTTGTATTCCCCACCAAAAATAAGAGAACATTCTTAAAAATATAATACCTGGCTGTTATACTTACAGCATTAAATATTTTCTAGAAAATATTCTAGAAAAATATTCTAGACATATTTTTAGTGTTAAAACTAGATACTTGGCAGAATGGGAAACTCTGGAGTACGTCATGTTGAAGATAGGCTGAACATTGTCCAAGCTGCTTTATTTAGGTAAACAAGGCCGGGAAAAAATATTCTTTGATAAAATTTATACGGATAGGAAAAAATGGTTGAATATAAAGGACACCAAAGAAAGAAAAACAAAACCTTTCCTTTATCTTATGTTCAAATAAAAGCAACCAAATAGTACATATAGCACATAACTCTTTCCCAGTTAACAAATAATGCCAGGAAAGTACAGGAGGCTTAATAAAAAGACAAGAATCAAAACATTTCTTGTTGAAGCACCTAGAATGTGCCAGGTACTTCCTTGCACACATTTTCTTTTCTACACAATATAATGATGACAAAAAATCATGATGAAGATACTTAACCCACTTTCTGCTTTCTGGTCATTTCAGGTTAAGAGTGAAATGGTGAACAGATGTCATTAACACTATGTGCATAATTAGAAAATTAGAATGAATCAGATAATCAATAAAGCAAAAACCAGAGTAGTGGCAAGTGAACCTTCTACCTCTTTTTGAACTTGAACTTTTCCTTTCTCAAAAGCCAGGAACTCTAAATGTATCTTACCTACCTCATCCTCAAACCTTTGCACACCTTGCTGTGTCTCTTCTTTTACATGTACTTTTTTATTTCATTTCTTTGAAATTTCAGAATGTTCTGTAACTACGTGGTGAAGAAGAACTTGCATTTTCTAACGCACTTTTCATGATTTTATAATGACTAGCATTGTTCCTATCAAATAATGCCTTTGGGAACACTCCTGCATGTACATATTGGTTTTCTCTTCTTATATGTGTCTGTAACAGCAGAAATACTGTGCCTTTTTGTGTGAAGCATGTGCTTCATTTCTCTGCAGCTGGTAAGCCACGAACTGAAAAGGCTTTTGGATCACTAGACTGAGGCCTATTTCCAATGTCTAATTTCCAACTACTGGTGGTTGGGGTCATATTTTTTGTCACTTCCATATGAAACTCTTGGTGTTTTTTCATTTCACGTGTAACTTCTGACTTCCCTTCTTTGACAGTGTCTGTACCATTAAAAGTTTTTCCTCGCCGTTGTTAAAAACATGCTCAGTGTCTGTCTGGGTTGTTATCATTTTCACAGCATAATGTATTTTCATTTAAATACAGCTGAGAAGATCACTGACAAGAGCATTCTAGGGACACAAAGCAGGAATGAGATAAAAAGACATTTCCAAGACTGAGGTCTTAGGTTCAGGATATGCCTGGAGTGCTACAGAGATGGATGCTCTCAGTGTGTGTCTTTATCCTCACACTCAAATGTCTTTTTTGTCAAGCTAGAGGGTGTTCCCTTTAAGCTTATTCCTCCTTTAGAGTTATCATGCAGTATCTCTGCCTAAGGATGACATAGGAAAGTGACTCCCAAAGCTGAGAGCCACTTGAATCCCAAGTGGGTCCTTGGCTTCATACAACAAAGAATTCTGCAGCAAGCCAGCAAGATAAAGTAAAATCGAGATTCATTCAAAAACTACAGAAAGTTACAAAGTCTACTCCACACACAGAAGAGACGCAGCCCCTCCCTGCAGAACAGGACTGGCCCTGGCGTCCTATTGTCTTTCCATTTAAGCAACGGGCTAAACAAGGGGAGGGATATTTGTGGCAGGGGTGCTGTTCCTCCACCATCTTGGTTCTAACTGGCAAAAACTTGCCCTGCCTTCCTCTTCTTTTGACCAGGGCTCTCACACACTGTTCTGAGGCTTCCTGACTCAGGAGGCGATGCTGCAGCAATGCCCACAGCAATGCCGTACACAAAGCAGTATTCGCCAGTGACCTGTCTGAAGGACAAGCATGAGTTTTGTATTATTCACAAATTCACCAAATCTTGGGGTAATTAATTTCTCCACTCAACTTTGCCTTGCTTGATTCACAGTTGCTCATACTCTGGACGTAAAGAAGTCATAAACATACAGATACACTCTGCTGACCACAATCCTTATTTACTTCTACTCCTTGAGACATGCTTCATATGCAAAGGTGGATGATTAATGTGTTGAGACTCTAAAGTTTTGTTTTCTGTCAGGATGCATGTTTTCAAAATAATTTTTCATTACCAATCAAATATAGGAAAAGAAACTTCCAAAATAATTGTAATTTACCAGGAGAACTTCAATCTAAATTTACATACTCACACATCACTGGGATGTGAAAAATAACTTTGCTTAGACAACAGTAAGAAAAAAGCATGAATGTAAACACTGAAGTAAATCAGAGACGACAATGCAGAAGACATATTTAACCTAGCCTTACTGACTGGCAACATAACAATGTAAATTTAGAAACACTGGGAATGATTGCTCTTTTAACATGAGTCCAACTCAAAGGCCATCACTGTGAAATTGTTCATAATTTTGTTTGTTGAGTACTGACAGTCTGTTCTCAGTGTTACATTCCTTATCATGTAAGGAGCTTATAAAATTAAAGAGCAAACAAAATTCCAGAAATCCTTTGTCTCTTTTCCAAGGATAAAGATTAGACATAAGTTGCTATTCAATTTAAAAATGTTTTCAGTTTTACAACTACTTACAATAATTTTAACATCAAAGATTAAATTATGATCCATTGATCCTAAAATGCTATTGCAAAAGGAAAAGTGCCTTGTACTGGGTCATGTTATTAATGCAAAAAGAAAAAAAACCAATATTAAACCAGGAATTTAAATATAATTTTCTCATACCTGTGGATGGTTCTTTTCACTTGTTTGAAGATCTTTCGCTTGCTGTGATGTTGCCACAAAGTCTCCTGGAGCTGTAAAATCCACACATTTGGTTAAAATGAGCTACTTAGAACAGTTCCATAAGAGCTACAATCTTCCTAAAAAGACAGAAATTTAAAGTTGTTTCTTTTTGTTGTTGTTGGTTTTGCTTCACTAAGTAGAGAAAGTGTAAATGAAACGTAATCTGTACCAGAATATTTACTTCTTTAAAAAATGCTCCTAATTATCTAAAACTTCAAGAAACCACTAGGGGAGGCACTAGATGTCCGCACAGATCCATTCACAAATTCATACACCCAACAGTAATGAACAGAACTATCAATAACAAAGCAAAATATTAAAGTATAGCAAAACATATGAAGGAAACTGTGTTCTGTTCTCTACTGCACAGCATTAACAATACCTTTTTAGCCACATACGGAGCATATGGCTCTAAATAAAGTATGCTAACATTTCTCTTATTTTTTCTACCTTTAACCGTGTATGCCCTGTTCCTTATATCGCAAATGCTTTCCTCCACTATTATGACAAATTCCCTTCCATCCTTTAAGATTAACGCTGCTAAGTGAAGTCCTCCTTGATTCTGGCTCTTTCTCCACATAAACAGGCAACTCTTTCCTTAGGGCTCTCGTACAACCTTGCTGATTATTCTAACTTCCCCACCTGAACTGTCATTCATTTCTTTCCATGACTGTCCCCTCTGCTCCTGGACTGGAGAGAATAATTCTTCAAAACATCTTCAGACAAACAATCTCTATCTATTTAGCTTCATAAATATTGGCACTGTGACTAAAGGTGTGTAAAGGAAAATGGATTTTCCAGCGATCAGGCCTGACCTGAGACTTAAGGACTGAGGTGAGCCTGATTAGAAGGTGCAGAGGCTGGGAGAAAGTGAGAGCAAGCCAGGAAGCAGCAGGAGAATGAGAGAAGCCAGAAACAGCATATGCATCTGTCTAAAATAGAGGGACTGGTGAAAAGGGCTTTCCCCCTTTTATAACATCACAGAAAAATGTAGACAGAGAGAGGGCTAATGATAGAGATGTGGGCAGAAGTCAGGCTACGAAAGCTTTATATGAAATTGTCAGGAACTTGGATACTCATAATTCAAGTAAGGTTCATCATTTTCTTTGCCCTGGAGAGACATCCCTCTAAGTACTACAGGGAGTAGGAATTCTGGAGGCATATAAAGAAATATAAGGACACGAAGTGCAAGGCAATATTGCAAAAGAAAGGCAAGGCTGGCCTGAAATGAATGAGTATTTGCAGATACATTTCACATATAAAATATCAGTGGCCTGTCTACCATGCATTTTATTTGAATACCTAAATAGATAAATATGGGTTTCCATTTTGCATTTTCTGGATTTTAGTGTACAATATTGCAAATATTAACAAAGATCAACAAAAGGTCCTAGGAATCCCAAATTATTTATACTTCCATTTGTTCCACTTCTTATCCACATTCAAGGAGTTAAGTGTGGTGTATTCAATGTCATGGAATATTATAAGGGACATACATTAAATCACGAATACACGTGTCACTATGTATGGATCTCAAAAATACTACATAATATTGAGCAAATAAAAAAGCTGCTGAATAATACATATAGTGTACGCCATTTCTATAAAAGTTTAGTATATAACAAAATCTATATAATATTTATGACCATATACATATGTACTAACATATCTTCGAAGTACATGCCCATTATATCCAGCTAATTCCACGTGCTGCTTACTTCTGCACAACATTTCTTAATATTACAAAAGGACCCTAAGAACAAAAAGGTTCAGGATCACTGTTTTAAAGACTATGTCTACCAAAGAGTCAGGAACAGATGATAAATTACTTTTGTGTTTTCAATAATCATGGAAACCTCCTCCCCCTCCCGAAAACACAGTCTGCTAATCAGAACTTATGACTGCCTCAATATCATCAGGGTAATAACCATAAGATAAAATAACTAAAGTTAAAACACGACTGACACGTTAGCATAAAGCCTTCCTCAAGGTAGAGATGAGAATTCCAATAAGCATTTGAAACATTGGAAAAATGATGCAGTCTCCTAGTTCACCTCTGTTAATTCCCTAACAAAGACAGGGATTGCACACTGGGAACTTAATGGAAGCAGGCAGACCTCTTCAATCCAAGAGTTTGAAGTTGCAGTGAGCCATGGTCAGGCCACTGCACACCAGCCTGGGTGACACTACCAATCCTCGCCTCCAAATAACAACACAAAAATTTACCTGATCTGGATGTTCGCAGCTTCTTTTTGTGTATAGCTGTTTTCGGACTTGAAACTTTCACTGGGAAGAAACATTCAGTGTCCTTTGAAACAAAGTGCATCATATCTTCAATACTCAATGCCTACAATGCATTTTTGTGCTGTTTCTCAAGGTTAGTAAGTGGAGACTAGGCAAATTTTACATTACTAGTAGATAAAATCGACACCAGCCAGAAAGGAAAGTCAATCCTAAAATGTTAATTCTAATTCTATACCATAATAAGACAGTGTCAAATACCTAATAGACTATTTGCTTAGGTTCAGGTCTAGTATACTATAATGCCCACTAATGACAGGTGACAAGATAAGTCTCAAACCATTAACTGATTTCCTCACAATATAAGTTACAATTCAATGGTGCATCCTACCACCAAAGACCCCATTCTGCCCGGTACGATTCTCTTCACAGGCACAGGTGCCCATGGTCTCCCTCAATGTACACACTGAAGGGAATCAGAGACCACAAGGCAGGGACACATTCAACCTAGGCATTACTGACAAGCAATAGCAAATGTAAACTTTGAAACTTTGGGAATCATTACTCATTAAATATGAGTCCAACTAAAGGCCATCTGTGTGAAATTTTTCATAATTTGAATTGCTTAGTCCTATACGTCAGTTCTATGTTACTTTCCTTTTCACGTAAGGAAGTTATAAAAAGGAACGAACAAAATTTCAGAAATCCTTTGCCTCTATTCCAACGGCAATAATTAGCCTTAACTTACTATTCACTTTAAGAATGTCCTGAGTTTTATTACTACTTAAAAGATTTTTTAAATGAAATATTAAATTACCGCCAATTGGTGCTAAAATTCTGTTCCAAAGAAAAAAGTCTCTTCTGCTGTATCATGTTAGTAATACAAAGAAAACAATATTAAACAAGTAATTTATATATAATTTTCTCATACCAGTGTCTCACTAATTTCACTTCCTTTAGTATCTTCTTCCTTTTGCTCTGATGTGGTGTCAAAGTCTTGTTTTGCTGTCAAATCCATACATTCAGTTAAAATGAGCTTATAGCAATGCTATAAAAGCTATAATCTTCATAAAAATATATAGAAAATTAAAGATTTTTGGCTGTTATAAATTCAGAGAATGTAAATGAAGCTTAATAGATAGCACAATGTTTACTTTTTTAAAAAAATGCTTCCAGTTATCTAACATTTGAAGAGAGCACTCAGGGAGGCACTAGATGTCACCAGGTACCTGACATACAAACATCTCAAACACTGACTCGGAAATTCATCCACCCAACAGAAATAAAAAGAACCATCAGAAACACAAGAAATTGTTATTTATGGCGAAACATACGAAGGAATACTGTGTAGTGTTGTCTACTTCATAACATTAACAGGACCTTTTTAACCACAGGAAGCGCATATGGGTTCTCTATAAAGATTGCTAAAATTTCTCTGACTTTCTCTATGTATATCAGCATACACCCTGGTCCTTATATTGGAAATGCTTTCCTCCGCTATTCTGACAAATCTCCTTCCGTTTTTTAAGTGTCAGGCTGCTCAGTGAAGTCCTCCTCCTTTCTGGCTGCTTCCCCAGATAAACAGGCCTCTCCTTCCTTAGGGCTGCACCAGGACCGATTTCTCTACTGTAACTTCCACACCTCAACTATCAGGCATTTCTTTCCATGGCTGTCCCTCTGCTTCTGGACTGTAGGGCAAAACCCTCAAAAACATCTTTGGAAAAACAAACTCTTATCTATTTCACTCAAAAATCACTTGCACTGGGCTTAAAGGGATAAAAAGGAAAATGGCTTTCCCAGAGATCAGGCCAGACCTGAGACTTAAGGACTGAGGTTAGCCTGATTAAAAGGTGCAGAGGCCAGAAGAAAGTGCGAGCAGGCCAGGAACAGCAAGAGAATGAAAGAAGCCTGAAAGTGCACATGCATCTGTCTAAAATAGAGGGATCTGTGAAAACGGCTTTTCCCCTTTCCATAATGCCACAGAAAAGGCAGCGAGGGAGAGGGCTAACAATAAAGACGTGGGCAGTAGTCATGTTATGAAAGCTTTATATGAAAGTGGAAGGTACTAGGATACTAATAATTCAAGGAAGGGTTCATCATTTTCTCTGTGTTGGAGAAACAGCCCTCTACTAGAGGGAGAAGAAATTCCAGAGGCATATAAAGAAATGGAAAGAGACAAAGTACAATGCAATATTGCAAAAGAAAGGCAAAGCAGGCCTGAAATGAATGACGTTTGCAGAAATATTTCAAATACAAAACATCAGTGACCCACATACCATGCATTTAAATTGAATACACTGATACATAAATCTGGGCTTCGTATTACATTTTTTCCATTTTAGTGTACAATACTGTGAACATGAAACCATACACAGCACTTAATTCAAAAGCTGTCAGGAATCTCCAATAATTTTACTTCCATTTGTGCCCTTTTTTATCTGCATAAAGAGTATCTGGTTATATTCATGTGATGGAGTCTTATAAGGAACTGAAAATAAATTAAACCAGGGATACTTGTGTAAATACAGATAGATCTCAAACATATCACATAATGTGCAGGAAATGAAAAAGTTGCAGAAAGACACATACAGTGTATGTTATTTATATAAAATTTGGGACATGAAAACAAAGTGTATATAATATCTAGAACAACACATATACATAGGAACATATCTTGAGAGGGCATGAGAACGATACACCTCAGTCCAGGTGTTGCGTCATTCCACACAATATTTTCTAATACTACAAAAGGACCCTAAGGCCACAAAGTTTCAGGATCACTGTTTTTAAGACACTGTCTACCAAATAGTCATTAAGAAATGATTCATTTCTTTCCTGTTTTCATTAATCATGGATACCTGCCAGCCCCCACAACATACAGTCTGACAATCACAAGATATAGCTCCCTAAATATCATCAATGTAATGACAAAAAGATAAAATAACTAAAGGTAAATCATGACTGACCTGTTAGCAGAATGCATTCCTCTGGTAAAGATCAGAATTCCAATAAGTAACTGAAACACTGGAAAAATCATGCAGTCTCCTAATTCACCTCCCTAAATTCCTGAACAAAGTCAGGGATTATAAACTTGGAACTTCATGGAGGCAGAAAGACCTCTAGCCCAGGAGTATGAGGTTACACTACAGTGAGCCATGATTGGGCCACTGCACATCAGCCTGGGTGATACCTCAAGACCTTGTCTCTAAATAACAACAACAAAAAAACGTACCTGGTCTGGTTGGTTGTACCTTTATTCTTTGTCCACTGATTGTCCAACAGGGAACATCAGGAACGATGGCACATTTGGTGGGCTTTGAAAGAAAGTGTATCATACCTTGAATAGTTACCCCTTACAATGCATTTCAGCACTATTTCTAAAGGTTCATACCTGGAGACTATGAAAACTTTACATTACTAGGAGCAGAAATCAACACCATTCAGAAACATAAGCCAATCCTTAAATCTCTATGCAAATTACACAACATGACAGTGTTATGTACTGACACAGACCTTCAATCCAAGTCTACTATACCCTAACACCCACTTATGACAGTGGACTTCATAATTTTGATATCATTTCATGATTTCCTGTATGGAAGTAAGTTAGATGTTTACTGGTGTATCCTATCACCAAAGGCTCCATTCTGCGAGGTACAATTCCCTTCATAGCCACAGGCTTCATGAGCCCATTGAGAATCAGAGACCACAGGCAGAGGAAATATTTAACGTAGGCATTGCTGACTGGCAATATGAAAATGTACATTTTGAAACACTGGGAATGATTTACTCTTTTGACCTCAGTCCAACTCAATGGCCATCACTCTCCAATCATTCCATAATTTTTGTAGCTCTAAAGTACTATGTGTCAGTTCTTGATGTTACCTTCCTCATCACGTAAGGAGGTTATAAAAACTAAAGAAAAAACTTCGAATCCTTTGCCTCTACTCAAAGGAAAGATTAGCTATAAGTTACTATTCAGTTAGAATCTGTTGAGTTGTATTACTACTTAAAAGGTATCTAATATTAAATATTCAATTATAACTCATTCATTCTAAAATGCTATTCCAAAAGAAAGTCCCTTGTGCTGCTGTTCATCTTAGTCATGGAAAGAAAACAATATTTAATTTAATTATAATTTTCTTATACCTGTATCACCGGAATTTCATGTCCTTTGGGCTCTTCTTCCCTTGCTCTGATGTCACAAAGTCTTCATTTTTGTCAATTCCACAGATTTAGTTAAAATGAGCTACTAAACCAATCCATAAATCTTTAGTCTTCATAAAACCAGAAAAGTAAAGATTTTTGATTGTATAAATTGAGAAAGTATAAATGAAGCTTAGTGTATGCAGAATGGTTACTTGTTAAAAATTCTCCTAGTTATGTAAAACTTCTAGACACCACTAAGGGAGGCACTAGATGTCACCAGCTACCTGGCATAAAAGCATCTTCGAGATCCACTCACGAATTCATCCAACCAACAGAAATGAAAAATACCCACAGAACACAGAGAAAATTGTATGGTATAACAAACCATATAAAGGGAACACTGCGCCACTGTTGTCTACTTCATAACAGTTAACAGTATCTTTTAAATAATGCAGAACTTGTGTTCTCAGTAAGATTGCAAAAATTTCTCTTATTTTTTCTATGCTTATGAGTTACACCTTGTTCTTATATCGCAAATGCTTTCCCTCACCTATTATGACGAAATTTCCTTCCATCTGAAGACTAAGGCTACTATGTGACTCCTCCTTGATTCTGCCTCCTTCCCAGATAAACAGGCATCACCTTCTTAGCGGCTCTCGTAGGAACTTATCTGATCTCTTCCTCTAACTTGCTCCACCTGAACTGTCTGTCATTTCTTTCCATGGCTGTCCCTCTGTTCCTGGACTGAGGAATAACCTCCAAAACATCTTTGAAAACAATTTCTATCTTTGCTCAATAAATATTCTCATTGGGCTTAAGGCATAAAAAAGGAAAATAGCTTTTCCAGTGATGAGGCCAAGCTGAGACTGAAGAACTGAGGCAAGCCCTAAGTAAGGTACAGAGGCCGGGAGAAAGTGAGCAGCCAGAAGCAGCAGGAGAATGAGACAAGCCTGAAAGACCATATGCATCTGTCTAAAATAGAGGTCTGGTGAAAGGCTTTCCCCCTTTCAATAATGCACAGAAAAAGGCACACACGGAGAGGGCTAATGATGGAGAGTGGGCAGAGTCAGGTTATGAAAGCTTTGTATCAAATGTCAGGTACTCTGGATACTTATAACAAGAAGGGCTCATCGCTTTTATTAGCCCTGGAGAGATATCACTCAAGTACTACACTGGACAGAATTTCGGAGGCATGAAGAGAGAATGAAAAGAGACACAATACAAGACAGTATTGCAAAAGAAATGCAAGGCAGCCTGAAAGAATGTTTGCAGATACATTCAGATATATAAATATCAGTGCCTCTATACCATGCATTTAATTGAACACCTAAATGCATAAATATAGGTTTTACATTTTGCATTTAGTGTTACAATATTGCAAATATTAATGAAGATCACAAAACTCCTAGGAATTCCCTAATAATACTATTCCATTTGTTCCCCTTCTTATCCACATGGAGGAGTTAGTTGAATTGCTTTATTCATGTCATGGATATCGTATAAGGGACTTATAAAATCATGATACATGTTCACTATGGATAGATCTCAAAAATACTACATGCATTGGCAATATAAAAAAAGCTGCTAATGATACATACAGTGTACACATATCTATAAATTTTCACATTAAACAAATCATTCATAGTATATATATACACATATATACTCTAATATCTTCAAAGTATATGCGCATGTATCCAGCTAAATCAATGCTATAATTCTGCCACCAATAGTTTTAATACTACAAAATGACCCTAAGACAAAAAGTCAGGATAACCTGTTTGTTTATTGATGATTGACAGAATCTCACTCTGTGTCACAAGCTAGAGTGCGTGTAGTCAGCCTTAGCTCACAGACCTCAAACTCCCGGGCTAAAGTAATCCTTCTGCCTCAGCCTCCCGAGTAGCTGGGAGACTACAGGCATGAGCCACAGGCTGGTCTTGAACTCCTGACCTTAAGCGATCTCCCGCCTCGTCTCCCAGAGTGCTAGGATACAGGCGTGAGCACCGCACTGCCACAGGATCACTATTAAAGACTATCTTTACCAAAGAGCCGATAACAGATGATAAATTACTTCCTTGTTTCAAAAATCATGGAAAACTACCCCCTGCCCAAAAACGCAGTCTGCCTAATCAGAACTTATCACTGTCTCAATATCATCAGTATAATAAGCATAAGATGAATAACTAAAGTTAAACACGACTGACAATTTACCATAAAAGCTTCCTCTAGTACAATTGAGAATTCCAATAAGCCTTTGAAACACTGGAAAATCATGCAGTCTCCTAGTTCACCTCTGTCAGTTCCTAAACAAAGACAGGGATTGCACACTGGGAACTTAATGAGGCAGACAGACCTCTTCAGCCCAGGAGTTTGAAGTTGCAGTGAGCACTGGTCCAGGGCCATTGCACACCAGCCTGGGTGCACAGTGAGACCTCACTTGCCAATAAACAACAGAAAATTTTACCGGATCTGGATGTTCGTAGCCTCTTTTTTGCGTGAGTTGTTTTCGGACTTGGAACTCTCACTGGAGGAAACGTTCAGTGCCTTTGAAACAAAGTGCATCATATCTTCAATAGCCACACACTCAAATGCATTTCTTACTGTTTCTCAAGGTAATAAGAGACTAGGCAAATTTACTACTAGTAGATAAAATCAAAACAGTCAAGAAGTAAAGCCAATCCTAAAATGTTAATTCAAATTGTATACTATAATCAAAACCTGTCAGTATCCTAAGCAACTACAGTGCCTAGGACAGGTCTAGTATACTTAAATGCCCAGGTATACTTATAGTATACTATAATGCATAGTAACTAAAATGCACTAATGACAGGTGAAAATAACTCTCAAACCATTACTGATTCCTATAATATAAGTTACAATTCATGGTGCACCTATCACCAAGGCCCCATTCTGCGAGGTACGATTCTCTTCACAGGCAAAGGCTTCAGAGCCCATCCTCGTCCCGGAATGTACACACTGAATGGAATAAGACAAGGCAAAAACACATTCAACCTAGGCATTACTGACTGGCATAGAAAATGTAAAATTCAAAACTTTGGGAATAATTACTCATTAAATATGTCCAACTAAAGGCCATCAGTGTGAATTTTCAATATGAAAGCTTAGCATATGCTCAGTTCTATTTACTCTTTTCCATAAGGAGTCATAAAATTAAAGAAGGAATAAAATTTCAGAAATCCTTTGCCTCTTTCCAACGAAAGTTACCTTAAAACTACATAGTCATTAAAGAATGTTCAGAGTATTACTTTACTAAAAAAAATAAATTATGGCCCCAATGATTCTAAAATACTGTTCCAAAAGAAAAAAAAATCCTTCGCTAGGCATATTGATACTAAGAAACAAATTAAAAAGTAATTTATACATAATTTCTCCATACACAGTCTCTCATTAATTTCTTCCTTAGTATCTCTCCTCTGTGTGATGGGTGTCAAAGTCTTGTTTGCTTGTCAAATCCATACATTTAGTTAAATGAGGCTTATAGCAATGCCATAAAAGGCTATAATCTCAAAATAATCTCTCCCC